CCAAAGTGCTGGGATTACAGGCGCCAGTCACCACACCTGGCCCATGATGGATTTTCAGATGACCTCTTTTGCTTTTAGTCTCTCCAAAGAGAGAGATTCTTGTTTTTAATGTCTGTATTGTTATAATAGTCAAGATGGCCTCACCTGAATGTTGTAGGTGTCAGAAATTGTTTCAGTAGTAATATGCCACTAGGCAGACCACCTAATCTTTAAATCCAGTTGTAGCACTCAATTTACTTTCTGTTTGCGGCCCTAGTGCACTGAGCCAAGTCAACTTGCCCACCTTTCTAATATTTCTTACAGCTAAGGAGGAACTGTTGGTCCTTTGATATCCTAGAATGCTTTCTACCTTGTGGAAATGCTTTTCACCTTAGTACACGGATTATATTGTCTAAATGTCTAAACAGGGATTCTCTGGTTAGAATTGAAATGAGAGAGTGATCCATTTTCAGATTTTTAGAGGTTGGCTCCCCTATTTTAGGTACTAGCTGATAAGTATTTAGTTTCCTGGTGACTTTGGATAGGGCAAGTGGAGATACAGAGAATGTGAAATTCCAGATAATAAGACCAGCATTACTCACAAATGACAACTGATGCAGTGATTTCTGCCCAAATGCAGTAAGAATCTTGTAGGGAGATAAAGTGGTAAAATTACATGAATCTTTTTACCGTGACTATTTTTTTTTTTTTCCTAACTGTAGCATAGTTCTCTGCCTATAAAGCCATGCGAATATCCTAGACCCAGGAATTAATTCCTGCTTAGGAAAATTTTTTCTTCTGGCTTATCTTTTGTTTGTGCCCGGAGTTTTGTCCTAGGCCTGTCCCCTGATCTTTTGCTATAACACATACTTAAGGTGCAGTCTTCTTTCCTAAATCAATACTTTGCTATTGGTGTTGCTGCCAGTTATTTATTTAGAAAGAAAGTGAAAAAATGCCTAGGTAGTTTGATTGCAGCATGCTAAACCCATAAATCTGGACAGAAGCCATGGAGTCTTACCTTTTCTCTGTCTGGCTTGGATGAACAACGGCCTTATGCTTTCTATTACAGGACTAGTTGACCCAGTTCTTCAAATTGGTTGCACATTAGAATTGTATAGGACCCCCTCTAGACATTTACATTTTATTGGTCTGTTGTGCAACCTGGGCTTTAGATGATTCTAATATGCAGCCAAGGTTGAGAATCGCTCCCTATGAAATCCCTAATGATCTTTAGCAGGATAACATCAATGCAGTTCTCTTTGACCTGAAAATATCTTTATTGATATTCCATGCAAGGCTCTCAATTCAAAGTGTACAGTGGGCCAAGGCTTAGGTAGTAAAATGGATCATCCATTTGTCCTCAGAGTAATTCTGGAGGGAAATACTGTCATCCGTCCAGTTTCCTCTCTATACGAAATACAAAGTACACATAAGTAAGCAAAACAAATTTTCAAAGATCCTTCTCTAGAATTCTTGTTCCTTTGCATATGTAATTTCAGTGGAGATTTCTCAACTAGCTGAAATGGAGAACTTGAATTTATTAAAAGATCCCAAACTGCTTACAGCAATTTCTATTTGTAAAATAAACAGGTAGCATTGTTAACGGAGAAAAGGAAGGATCCTGCTTGGGGTGATGGTAATATGTTTGATTATTTGTCTCTTAGCCTGTCTTCTAAGTGGGATTTCAGTGTCAGTTCACTTCACTTTTCTTGGCTTGTTTTTTTGTGAATGAAATGAACTAGCTAAGGCTTAAGTATTTCTGAATAATATATGAAATATGAAATGAGTCATTTTAGGATCTTTGTTCTGGAATGTCAAAGACCTAACCAAGTACTTCCCAAATGAGGTTCCAGATTCATTCTTCTCATCCAGGGTAGTAAAGGTGTTTCAATGGGTTTGTTACTTGCCCATGGCAACCTCACACATGGTAATAGAGAGGGGAGAATTGTTTTATTACCCTAAAAAAGTGAGAACCACTGTTCAAACTAACTAGCTACCAAGAGACTTCTAACTCATGAAGAAAATTTGTATTTAAGAGCAAGTTCAAATGTAGTAGTCTCTCTTCTGAGAGTATTCTGGATACCACGGAAAGTTTCACTTATATATTGCCTACAAGTAATTGGTAATTTGAACTTCAGTAGGTAATATGTGCAAAGAGAAAAAGTAGGTCAAGGAGAAAGTTGGTTAGTGCAGAGGGCTGAATTAGCATCAGTCTGAAATTTCATTAAAGTAGCACTAAGGCCTGGGTGTTTGCTTAGCATGTAAATGCTGCAGTGTCAGAGAAAATGCCTCTTATGCCTTAGAAAATTTGCTGAAGGCTCCCTGTTACTGGTGGAATAGAAAAGCAGTAGCCTTTGAGACTCCAAAGAGAGTAGCCCCCTTAGGGTTTTCATACTGAAGAACCTTGTGGAGTACTGTGAAATATTGTTGAACTTTATGCAAATTATACTGCACTGGATTTTAAGATTTTATGGGGGAGAGAGTAGAGAAGAATGGGGAAGTAATGATAAAAGATAAATACGTAAACTTGTACTATATTTTAAGCAAGGAATGAAACAAATTCCCTCGCAGGAATTCCCTCTCAGCACTGTGAAGTTTGGTCAAGTTTGGCCTAATGGGTTGGCTTGCTGATTCCTCTTAAACCTCTAGGAAATCCTTTCTAAAACGGCAAAACAAACGTTAGTTTGAGTACTGTTTCACCACCCTGCTCCATCCCCCTACTCTCAACAAAAGAAAAGCATTCCCAAACTATAGGCAAAAGAAATGTGTTCTATCTCAGTCCATTAATTTTTCATCTGCTATGATCTGTGTTCACAGTTTTAGCACATTGCATTATTTTGTGATCTGATAGCAGAACATCAGGAACTAATGGCTTCCTTCCCTTTAAGAAACCTTAAAGTTAGAACTTTTTTTTTTTTTTTTGAGACAGGGTCTTGATCTGTCACCCAGGGTGGAGTGCAGTGGCACACTTATAACTCACTGCAGCCTCCACCTACCAGACTCTATCCTCCTGCCTCAGCCTCCCAAGTAGCTGGAATACAGGCACGTGCCACCACACCCAGCTAAATTTTCTGTTTTCTTTTAGAGACAGAGTCTCACTATGTTGCCCAGGCTGGTCTCAAACTCCTGGGCTCAAGTGATCCTCCCACCTAGGACTCCCAGAGTTACAGGTGTGAGCCACTGTGCTTGGCCTAGAACTCTTATTTTTGGCATTTCTTTCTAAATGAGTACATTGGAAGAACATTAGGTTTCCAGGCTCCTCAGAATTTCTGAAGGGGACCCGCTCTGCTCTGCCTCTGAAAGGAGAAGAAAAGGCTGAGGGTTCAAAGATAGAAAAGTCAATGTAGCAGAAATTTGATTTCCTTCAGATGGACATAGTCTGAAAGAAATCTATCCAACTGTTCTCTATGGTGCTTACATGATGGGTGACAGCTGTCCCCATCTACCTGTCCCTGGCACTGTGCCTTCCCACTGGTCACTGTGAAAAGCAAATCACACTGGACTCAGAGGCCAGAATCCAGGACAAAATCCCCCTTTTCATCTTGAGCCCATCACGTCTTTGTATAGCTGTTAATGTAGCATTTACTTCTTTATGGGAAACTCTTGGGTTTTTAACCCAAGAAGAAATTGTAAAGCATTTAAACTAGTCAGAAAATAAGATTCTGATGGTAGCGATCAAATAAAGAGATGATAGGAAAATTTCACTTCCTCTCAGTTGATATTGATTGATAGCAAGGATCAACTACGCCCACCTCTTCCTAAGTTTTTAAAGGCTACCATAATATTTGCAAGCAACAAATTTATCTAACATTTTTTACAACTTGCTAATCAAGGAGAATTCATATTAAAACAGACAATCAGTTTCTAAAATGTTATCCCTGAAAGGGAATGGAATAGAGTATTTTTAGCTATAAGAACCTACCAGTCTGTTTTTTCCCTTTGAAAAAACTAATGTTTGAAATTTGTGTCTTTCATCTGAAGCAGTTACTCCATTAATAGTAAAGATGCCTCGGAAAAGTCAGTGAACCAGGATAGTGCTCTTGCACCACTGAGGGTGCTAGACTGGCTTTGTGCATCTTATTTCCTAAGAATATCAGTTTTTATTATGACCTTAATTATAAATACCTATATATAGGAGTAGGATTTTCTCTCACCCAACCCTACTTTAATCATTATCACTTAAGTGTAAACCACCACCTCCCCCTCTTTTCCTTTACTGAAAAAAAATGCACTTTAATTCCTAAGGAGAGTGGCTGTTCCTGGCCCTGAAGCCAGATTACTTCAGGAGGAGAGTTAAGGAGGGAGAACTCTTGCCAGACCCTGTGAAATTAACCAAATTTCTTAATGTAAACACACAAGTAATAGCATCCACTTTTAAGTGGCCCCCACTCCATGCCAAAGGGGAAAAGAACCACCAAATCAAAAAAGATTTCTAAGTACCTGTCCTGATTTTGCAAGTTTCACTGAGGAAAAACTATCTAAGATCATTTTCACAGCTAGCAATTTGTCAGAAACTTTGGTGGTGTTTTGTGGGAGGCTGAGATTTTTTAAATTAAAAATCAAGTGAAAACACAAAGATCTAAAATATGGTCCCAATTTGTGTCATTTCTAAGTATCAGATTTGTTCTCCCTTCATTTGACAGATGTTCTCAGTCTCTCCTCCTGTAAGATTCTGTCCTTCCCCTGATGACGAGCCAATAGTTCTTGGTGGGGTTGCATGTCTCCTAGAGCCCCAGGACCCCTGTCGTGTCGGGGAAGGGGGGAGGGCAGGAGGGTGGGCAGAGACTCGGGTTGGGGGAGGGAGATTCAAAGAAAGTGAAAATATGGGTTTATATAAACATATTTAAAACAGTTTAGCAAAAGCTTTCTCGTTGAACAGCTTTAAGAACAATGTGAATGAAATCTTAGCAACTTGGTTAGTAATCTGAAAAGTCTATTAATGTATACTTGAAATTCTGTTTGTATAAAAATGCATTTTCCTCTTTATTTTAACACTGTGTAAAAGAACATTATGCATGTGAGTGGTTTGAGAATTAAATGGTTTAATACTCAGGTTTGAATCTGTCTTTTCCATATATAGAAACAATTTGTTTAAATTTGTTTTTATTGATATTTTTTAGTGTCGTGGAAATCCTGAGAATTCACTCTCCCATTCCTTTCTGGCTGTCTACCATCTTTCATCGCTGTCTCCCTCATTTTCTTGATCCAGATGTGGTTACTGGGCAAAGAACAACTTGAAGGCATCATTTTACCAAATGCCCCAATAGCATGTTTCCCCTTTCCTTGTCTTCATTTAAGATGCAGAGTCCATTTATAATGTAAGATGGGAGTAGTTGTATTTATTTTTACTTCTATTCACAAACCAAAATAGGAAGAGGTACAAAGAATAAGAACAGTTTAGCTCACACAAGGGTTGGCTACTCTGCCCATGAAGATAATAGTGTTCAGAGGAACTTCTCTTATAAAAACCAGGAAAGGCCTGTTGGCCTTGAAGGTCACCCTGTTGGGGTTTAGCGAACGGCCAGCAATCCCAATGGCGGTACTTGCAGCTGCTTCACTGCCTTCTTCATTTACCTGCAGGTCACATGGGAAATAAAACTACATTATTTACTCTGCCATTCATTATTGGCAGGTAAATCATCCACAGACACAGCATTTCCTCAAATGCTTTTGTTTTCCAGTAAAAAGTACATTTGGGTCAGGTTGGATTCCCTCCAGAATCCTACTTCTACTCATTCTTTCATGCAGATAATGTAAGGTACTTGTGTTTGTCCAAGCCTTGTGCTAGGTAAGAGTTCCATTAAGGTAACCCAGAAATCTGAATGTACACAGGTTATCACATTTCTGGCTGGTACCATTGTAAATGGTTTTACAGCAGATTTTTTTGTACCAGCTGCTGAAAGATTTTTGACTCAAGATCTGAACTCCATAGTTGAAACTGTTTCACTCTTGGAGCATCAAGATCCAAGATACAGCTACTCCAAAGAGCCACTCAGGACCTAGGGCCTGTGAAAAGAGGTGGGTTGTCTGGCTGGACGAGATGCCATTTTTTTGGAGTAACAGACTGAAACAGTGGTATTTGAATATGGTTGATAAGCAGGTCTAGAGGGAAACACCTTCAGAAAATTTTGCCTCAGGACCCAGAATATCACTAGAACTCTGTTTCTGCTCTTATGAAAGCACATGATTAACCACCTGCCTGGGTTTTCTGGAGCTAGTTAATGATGTCTTCTCCTTCCCTCTCACTCTTCCTTCCGCTTCCTTTGTTCCTCCCTCCCTTACCCTCTCTCTCCCAATAGTGTCTGTTTCATGCTCATTCCAGGACTAAGTTTATTAGCAGACTCTAGAGTGTTTGCATGACCAGGATCCTTTTATTCAAATCAGGTCTGGTTTTTAATGGCTTCTCAGATCTACAATTAGTTGGGTTTATTAAGGGTTCCCAAGGTTTTCAAAGAAAACGGCTTTGTTGTGAGAACCACAGAAAAATCTACATCATTGTGTACTGGGCTCAGGTGGATAAAATGAATCCAGACCTCTGCTTCTTCCTAATAGTAACTCAAGCCCCTGGAGGTCTGAGTTGACACTTCTAATTGGAGTCCTTACAAGGGGATATTCAATGAGAGTTAAAACCCTGAGGACTCAATTTCCCTTGCAGTCTTCCTTTCTTTCTTCCAAAAATCCGTATGAAAGAGGGTGTGAGCAGTGTCATCTTAACTTCCAAAACCATTAATGCAGCACTGGTAAAATCCCTTGTTCTGATCTCAATACCTCTACTCTTGCTATTGTCTTAAAGGTCGTTGACATTCATTGTCTTATAGATTATATGCCCACAATGAGGATTTTTGCACATAGCCTTTCTGTCCACCCCAACTCCTGCTATCATTTGAGACAATTAAATTATCGCAGTAGGCTGGGCACGGTGGCCCATGCCTGTAATCCCAGCACTTTGGGAGGCCGAGTCAGGTGGATCACTTGAGGTCAGGAGTTTGAGACCATTGAACCCAGGAGGCGGAGGTTGCAGTGAACTGAGATCATGCCACTGCACTCCAGCCTGGGCGACAGAGCAAAACTCCATCTCAATGAAAAAAAAGAAAAAAAAATCTCAGTAGGAGACCCATTCAACACCGTAGCCTCCCATTTCTTTCATCTCGTCACACCTAATGAGCATTACCATGTAAGCAAACCTGTCCATGGCTACACCCTGGACTTGCCATCTCAGAACTGCTCTACCTTTGAAATTATATTAATAGCATCCTTTTCTCAGACTATAACCTTGTGTTCTTTCAAGTTATCACATTTCCTCACTCCCGTTAAAATTCCACTTTCCTCTGAACCAGGCATTTCCTACTGAGCTTGATCCCTGGCTCTATATTTACTAGCACCATCCTCCGAAACCTTTCTCTTTGACTACAACCTTCATTCTTTTCGATTTCTTCAATTCTAGAAAATTCTCTACCATCGTCCCATCTCCTTTCCCTCACAGCCTGGCTCCCGCAAAGAATAGTCTATACCAGTGGTTCCCAAATCTCATTGTGCATAAGAATCCCCTGAGGAGTTTAGTACATACACGGATTCTCAGGGCCCATCCCAGAATCTCCAAAGATAAAACTCCCCAGATGACTGCTGCTGTTGGTCCATAGTTTAGTGTTTGCTTGAGAACAACTAGAACCAGAAGTTCCACAGGCTGTACACAGCTGTTACTCTAACACAGGGTTCCATGCACACCTCAGCTGGGGGAACACTAGGTTAAGTGATATTCAACCGTTTTCTTTACTGTGGGACGTCTCAGACCTCAGCCTGCCAGTGTGTACTGTTCATCTCTCACGAGAGGATATACATTTATTTGACCACCTTTTCATTGCCTCCAGTGTAGTCTAGTGCTCCAGTTGTCTGGAGCACACTTTAAGACACTGATGCACACTCACCAGCTTCCCTTTCTTACCTTCCATTTGCTCTTCATCCATTACAATTAGGCATGTGATCACACTATTCTGTCGTCAGGGAAAGGTAAACTATGGGCAGTCTCCAAACTTTTTATTTTTTTTAAGACTTTTTGGTAGAGACAAGGTCTCACTATGTTGCCCAGACTGGTTGCGAATTCCTGGGCTCAAGTGATCCTTCCATCTCACCCTCCCAAGGTACTGGGGTTACAGGTGTGAACCACCATGCCCAGCCCTGGAGTCTTCTTACTAGATGCTATCCATTTTCTTAAAACTTCTCCCTGGGTTGGCTGGGTGCAGTGGTTCATGCTTGTAATCCCAGCACTTTGGGGGTGCCAAGGAGGTGGATCACCTGAGGTCGGGAGTTCAAGACCTGCCTGACCAACATGGAGAAACCCTGTCTCTACTAAAAATACAAAAATTACCCAGGCATGGTGGTGCATGCCTGTCATCCCAGCTACTCAGGAGGCTGCGGCAGGAGAATCGCTTGAACTGGGAGGCAGAAGTTGCAGTGAGCTCTCGCACCATTGCACTCTAGCCTGGGCAAAGAGCGAACGAAGCTCCGTCTCAAAAAAAAAAAAACAAAAACAAAAACAAAAAAAACCTTCTCCCTGGGTTTCTGCGACCCCCATCCTGTAAATTCCTTCTTGATGGGCTTTGCTGGCTTCTTTTCCTATATCACCCTCCTAAATATTTGTGTTCCCGCTTGACCTGCTGCAGAAGAGGTAGTGGGAGGGAAGGCAGAACAATCACACCATGAGGGTTTCGGGGAGGGCTGTATTATAGCAGGCCTTAACGCTGGAAACAGGCCTTTTCCACATGTGTGTTCTGTTGTTCATGCATCTCCTGTCTGTACCCCAAGAGCTCGTGGAGCAAGAACTCCAGAGTTAGAAATCACATGAAATACTGAATAATAAAGTGGCAGAAAAGTAGCATAGGAAGAGAGAGTCGGGAGGTGTACTCACCTCAAGAAATGCCTTATGGAATGCATCTGAGACATAGAGGTCATCCCGGCCTTCTGCAACAATACCTGGAAGGAAGACCGGAGAAGGCTTTGTGAGATGGGAGAAAGTTGGCTTCAACTCACAGATGGGAATTCAGTTTGAATTAAGAGATCCTTTGGGGCTTTTTGAAACATAAGAAGAAATCCTAAATCTTCACCTAATCATACTCTCACAATGAATATGTGTTAAAAATAATAAAGTACTTTGGGGGCCAGGTGCAGTGGCTCACACCTGTAATCCCAGCACTTTGGGAGGCCAAGGCGTACAGATCACCTGCAGTCAGGAGTTTGAGACACTCTGACTAATATGATGAAACCCTGTCTCTACCATGAAAATACAAAAATTAGCCAGGTGTGGTGGCGAATGCCTGTAATCTCAGCTACTTGGGACACTGAGGCAGGAGAATCGCTTGAATTTGGGAGGCGGAGGTTGCAATGTGCCAAGATCAAGCCACTGCACTCCAGCCTGGACAACAAGAGCAAAACTCCATCTCAAAAAACAATAATAATAATAATAATAATAATAATAATAAACTACTTTGGGCTTGTTCAGCGTGGCTCCTGATAATTCATTCTCAGGCTTCAGCTCTTTGTGGGAGAGAGAAAGGGCAAGACTCTGTTCTTACAGAAAAAAACTCACTCCATTCAGAAGGAACATCTTTCTTTCCAGTCTGGCAACATTTTTCGTTTTCTAAACTAGCTTAGAGAGAGCCCAGTAGCGCAGTGGCTCACAGCTGTAATCCCAGCACTTTGGCTGGCCGAGGCGGGTAGATCACCTGAGGTTAGGAGTTCAAGACCAGCCTGGCCAACATGGTGAAACCCTGTCTCTACTAAAAATACAAAAATTAGCCTGGCATGGTGGCAGGCTGAGGCAGGAGAATCACTTGAACCCAGGAGGCGGAGGTTGCAGTGAGCTGAGATTACACCACTGCACTCCAGCCTGGGGGACAAGAGTGAGGCTTCATCTCAAAAAAAAAAAAAAAAGATAAATCTAATTACTTAACATCAGAAGCTTATTATATTATATTATTTATTTGTCTAGCGATAGGGCCTCACTCTGTTGCTCAGGCTGGAAAGCAGTGGTATGATCACAGTACACTACAGCGTTGACCTCCCAGGCTCAGGCAATTCTCCCAGCTCCACCTCTCAAGAAGCTAGGACTGCAGGTGTGCACCACCGTGCCTGGATAATTTTTTTTACTTTTTGTAGAGACCATCCTCACTATGTTGTCCAGGCTGGTCTCAAACTCGTGGGCTTAGACGATCCTCCCACCTCGGCCTCCCAAAGTGCTGGGATTACAGGTGTGAGCCACCATGGCCAGCCAACTTCTTTAAAAGATACTTTAATGCGCCGGGCGCCATGGCTAATGCCTGTAATCCCAGCACTTTGGGAAGCCGAGGCAGGTGGATCACAAGGTCAAGAGTTCAAGACCATCCTGGCCAACATGGTAAAACCCCGTCTCTACTAAGAACACAGAAATTAGCCAGGTGTGGTGGCACACGCCTGTAATCCCAGCTACTCAGAAGGCTGAGGCATGAGAATTGCTTGAACCCGGGAGGCAGAGGTTGTAGTGAGCCGAGATCACACTGCTGCACTCCAGCCTGGGCAACAGAGTGAGACTCTGTCTCAAATAATAATAATAATAATAATAATAAACGTCAGTGAGGCCTGTGTAATGGGAACCAAATTTCCCCAGCTCTTAATATCTGTGTCTTTGCTCTGAATTCCAATGCCCTTTCAAATTCCTCTCCACCTGGTCCTGTCTCCTGTACCTGATACAGACTCACAGGGCACCAGTGATGGCTGGGCCCATGGAGATCCAAGAACAAACTTCCCTTTTACAGAAGAGGAAACGGAGGCCTCAAAAGGAAAAGAGATGTCCACAAGTGAGCAGTAGAAACTAGGATCAGAATCCAGGAGTCCTGACTTGTTGCTCCTTTCTATTCTTTCTCCAACTCTTCCACTTTCGGTCAGACTACCTTGTGGGTAGAGCAGGGAGGAAACTCCTTCCTAGACAAACCTGGGAGTTTGGACTTTTCAGGGCTGAACAGATCGACAAGGCCCATGTCTTGCAGCTGCTCCTTCAAACTAAAGCCGTCCTCAATGCGGAAGCGGGGCATGTGGACCACCAGCATCATCTCCTCCAACTCATCCAGCCACTCCTGCAGCACCTCTGGGGTGAGTTCCTGCTCCACCTTGGTCAGGCTCTTCTCAGGCTTGGGCAGGATGAGCACCATGGTGATGTCATCACCCTTGAAGGGCAACTCAAGCACCTGGGTGCCTTCAGCCACGCGCCGATAACGGAACTTGCCTTCCTGGTACATCATAGACGCTGAACACGACTCTCCATCAGCCTTGTAGAACGGTTCCATCCTTGTGTTCTCAGGGCTAAACTTTGACTTCCACAGGCCCTGGAAGAGAATCACAAAGTGAGAACAAAAACCTTCATAGGAGGATATTTATTGACACAAGACATATTCATATTATAGTGTTACATTAATATATATTGTAAGTGTTACATTAATATATAAGGAATATGCACAAAAAGGTTAATAATGACTGTGTCAGAATGATGGAATTATGAGTAGGTTTTTCTCTGTGTACTTTTCTTTATTTCCCCAGATTTTCAGCAGTGAGTATTTGCTTTTATAATCAGAAAAATAAAACCAAAACCAAGAACAATCTACAGTCCTCTCTGCAAGTCTCTTCTTGAGTTTAAATCTAATTGCCTTGTGCTGTCTGCCTTCCGCCAACCTCTTTTCTTTTCTTTTTTTTTTTTTTTTTTGAGATGGAGTTTTGCTCTAGTCACCCAGGCTGGAGTGCAATGGCACAATCTCGGCTCACTGCAACCTCCACCTCAGGGTTCAAGCAATTCTCCTGCCTCAGCCTCCCAAGCTGCTGGGATTACAGGCACCTGCCACCACGTCCGGCTAACTTTTTGTATCTTTAGTAGAAATAGGATTTCGCCATGTTGGTCAGGCTGGTCTCGAACTCCTGACCTCAGGTGATCCACCCTCCTTGGCACCCCCAAAGTGCTGGGATTACAGGCCTGAACCACTGCGCCTGGCCCCACCAACCTCTTTTCTAAGGGCCAACCTCCAAAGTCCTGGGCTCTGCCAGACACAGACACAGATAACAGAGGATGAGCCCTGACTGACTTCCTCTTCAAACTGGGAGGGACCCTGAGATAGAAGACACACTTTTGAACATTACCATTCTTTATCACTTTCTAGCTCTGTAATTTGGGGACAAGCCATTTAACTCTTCTTTTTTGGGTCGGGGGACATGGTCTCAATCTGTGCCCCATGTTGGAGTGATGCAATGGCAAGCTCATGGCTCACTGCAGCCTCAGCCTCCCAGGCTCGAGCTATCCTTCCACCTCAGCCTCCCAGGTGGCTAGGAGTACAGGTGTGTGTCACCATGCCCAGCTAACTTTTTTAGTTTTTGTAAAGACGGGATCTCCCTGTGCTGCCCACGCTGATCTTGAGCTTCTGTGCTTGAGTGATCCTCCTGCCTCAGTTTCCCAAAGTGCTGGGATCACAAGTGTGAGTCATCATGCCTGGCCCATTTAACTCTTCTGAGTAGTGGTTTCTTATCTGTAAAACTAAGAGCTGATGATAGCTAATATTTATAGAATATGCTTACTGCATGCCAGGCACTTTTCTAAGCATTTTGCACGTATTAACTTATACCTTATTTACATGCAGTAGCTACCTCAGTATCCCTATGTGGTAGATGTATCATTATTACCACATCATAGATGCAGAAATTGGAGCATAGAAAGATCTCGGGTAACTCACCCAAGTTCACATGGTCAGAAATGGAAGAGTCAGTATTTAAAATTAAGTAATCTGTCCGAGTGGCTCAGGTTTCATTTGTGATGTGAGAATCAAGAGGGCTAATAAATGTCAAATTGTTCTGCAAACTGTAAAGGGCAAATTCACGTGGTGGAAATACAGTCTGCTCTGTCCTTGGAGAGGGGAAAACCGTAAGAGACAGCGACTGACAGCAGCAGCGACTGGCTAGTCCCCTGGGCCCTGTGGGAGGGAAGAATGTACCGGGAGGCACATCCCAGGATGGGCAAAATATGCCACAATTCTACCCGCCTTAAACTGGTGGTCTCCTGAGTGTCAGCGGTCTGCTTATTCCCACTCCCCTCTTCCTTTTCCTTCCCAAATGTAATCAAGTTGACACAGTCTTCAGAACACTACTCTGAGGAAAACAAGGCCTTCTGCATCGGTAAATAATGGCACCTAAGTCTGAGGTGAGCCTGTCACCTAGAAGCTCAGAAGATTTAAGCTAAAACTGGATTTTACAAGAAAGAAAACATTTTTAAAAAAGATAAAATAGGCCAGGCATAGTGGTTCACGCCTGTAATCCCAGCACTTTGGGAGGCCGAGGCAGGCTGATCATCTGAGGTCAGAAGTTCAAGACCAGCCTGGCCAACATGGTGAAACCCCATCTCTACTAAAAAAATACCAAAAATTAGCTGGGCATGGTGGTGTGCGCCTGTAATCCCAGCTACTTGGGAGGCTGAGGCAGGAGAATTGCTTGAACCTGGGAGGCGGAGGTTGCAGTGAGCCGATTGCACCATTGCACTCCAGCCTGGGCGACAAGAGCGAGACTCTGTCTCAAAACAAAAAACAAAAGATAAAATATATAAAAATAAATTTTAAAAACTAAAATTTAGGCAAAGGGAACTTTGACTCATTGTAGAAGCTGCTCCAGGTGATGGGAAAAAAATTGCAGGGCTGAAGATTGTGAACACATTGACTCTGTCATTTCATTCCAGTTTTCAAAATGGAGTTAACTGGACAGCAGAATCACATATATATGAGAGTTTGTCACTGTGCACACCTTGCAGTGGGACATGATGGGTTTGTTTGCATGCCCACTCTGCCATCAGCCTGGGGACACTACCACACCTCCCTGGACGGTAGCCCAGCAGCCATGGTTCAAACGGTTCTGGGCTCTCAGCAAATGTTTATGTCTGCCCAGACTATGCATGGACCATTTCTCAGAAAGGATCTACCTACACATGCCCAGTAGTGTTAAAGAGGGTGAGCTGACCGCATGTGGTGGTTCATGCCTGTAATCCCAGCACTTTGGGAGGCTACGGCAGAAGGATTGCTTGAGCCCACGAGTTCAAAACCAGCCTGGGCTGTGGCAAAAATAAAAAATAAAAAACTTCACCTCCTATGATGGCATGCACCTGTCGGGAGGCCAAGGTGGGAGGATCGTTGGGATGGCTGGGATCACTGGAAGGTCAAGGCTGCAGTGAGCTGTGATTGTGCCCGTGCACTCCAGCCTGGGTGACAGAGTGGGATTCCATATTTAAACAATAAATAAAATAAAATAAAATAAAATAAAATAAAATAAAATAAAATAAATGGAGGCGAGGAGGAAATAAGGCAGGGACAAGGAGGCAGAAGCAGGCGCTTTGGAGAAGTTGGTTCAGCTCTCTGCCTTCTACTGTCGGAATCTGTTCATGTAGTCCTTAGGCTTTTTTTATCCATTTAGATTGACCTGCCCTGCTGACCTGTGTAGCTTCAGGCAGTCCATTTGCCCTCTCAGGGCTTCGGTCTCACCGTTTAAAAAAAAAAAAAGGCGGGAGCGGGGGCAGGCGCGGTGGCTCAAGCCTGTAATCCCAGCACTTTGGGAGGCCGAGGCGGGCGGATCACAAGGTCAGAAGATCGAGACCATCCTGGCTGACACGGTGAAACACCCTCTCTACTAAAAATACAAAAAACTAGCTGAGCGAGGTGGCGGGCGCCTGTAGTCTTAGCTACTCCGGAGGCTGAGGCAGAAGAATGGCGGGAACCCGGGAGGCGGAGCTTGCAGTGAGCTGAGATGCGTGTTTCCAAAAAAAAAAAAAGCGGGGGGGTAAGCTGAAGAACAAGAGGAGGTCCCCGGGGTCTCTCCCCAGGGTCATTCTGAGTACCTTGAAGTAAATGGTGTTAACCAGCACCAGAACAGTGAGCTCGTTGATGGCTTCCGGGGGAATGACATCGGTGATTCGGCCTTCGGTCTTATTGGACACCCATTTGTTGATGGCCGCTCTGGATTGCTCTGCATTTTCCTGAGGAGAACAGGAAATAAACCTACTCACCTGTGCTATTCGATTGGCTTCCCCATTTTCCCAGGCCGCGTTTTATTTTTCTCACCATCCCTCTGCCCTTTCCCACCATTTGATTAAGAAGCCATCGCTCTAATCCAAATTGGGGAAACCTCACATATCTAATGTAGTTCCATGAATCTTTCCTGTAGTTAATAAATATTATCAGAAGAAAAAGAACAAAAATAAATCGGAAGAAATCAAGGAAAAGAAGGAAGATGAAAACAGTCTGGGAAAAATAAGATAAAATATTATTTTCTCTGACTTTGGAAAACCTGAACTCACAAAAGGAGGGTTTCCAAGGCATGTTTCAGGGAAAGCAATGAATGATTGCAGGTTATATGGGGTTGGCAAGTTATATGGAGGAGAGAAATGGCCATGCAGTCAAATACATTTGAGGAATGCTGATTGAATAACGCCAACAGATTTCTTTGTTGCGGAGTTTCTCTGAAACTTCACAGGCCCATGTTCTTCATGAATCTCCAAAAGGAGAATATGACATGCATCATGTACCAACTTTATTTGACCGTGATAACTGTTCAAATTAAGTAAGATATCTTGTAGGACTGGCACCTTTAAAACACCCTTTGGTATATATTTGAAGTTGGTGGATGGAATGAAGAATTGATTATTTATTCACGTTTTCCTGGGCAGTCACTACAATCTAAGCATGGATACCATTGATTTCTCAGGTTTCCAGTAAGAATAACTATTCCCGGGGTGCTGACTTGTAGCCAGCCCTCTGACAGTCTTCAGCAGCAAAGCAGTGTGAATTTGGATGCTGTTTCTCCCCCTCCTCAATCTCTGAGTGGAGAGGAAGAACTCGGAGGTCAGGGGTAACATCTGCAACTCACCTTGAAGTCCAGGGGCTGGAGCTTGGCTCCATATACCAACTCACTGATGTCCTGGTAGGTCTCATTGAAGGTAAGGGATTTGTCTCCAAAAAGGCGATTGGCTGATACTAACTTGGAGGATTTGTTGGCTTTTCGATAGAGTCGGCAGTTCAGTTTGGCAAAGAAGAAGTGGATCTGATCAGATGTTTTCTCAGATATGGTGTCAAACTTAAATACCTACAGAAGTCAAAAAAAATGGTGGTGGGTTTTGTGGGCAGCCTGGCTAACATGGGTGTTGAGCATAGACTGGTCAGTCTCTGACTAATAGCCACCTCAGTTGTGAACTCCTTCACCTGGGACAGCATAAATGCTCAACTCTTGTGTTCTGATGAATAAAGGGATAAAAGAAGAATGAAGGGTAGGAAGGATAAAGGGAAAAAGAGAGACTAGGTCACCACCTAAAGTCTCTAAAGGGCTCTAGATCAACACACAGATGTTTTCTTGCTGGAATGGGAAAAGTCCTCTTGGTGATTCTGGACAGAGAAGAGAATCAGGACAGTGTCCTTTCTTGTAGCAAACACTTTTGTGGCATCTCTTGGGGCCAGCTGCTCCTGGAGGCTCTGGGATACTGGTGGTAGGGGTGAAAAAGGAAGAGTGAATCTATCAGCAAGGGATTAAACAGGCCCAGAATCCAAGAGTCTCAGGGTTGAAAACGACTTAGAAGTCATCCATGCTTTGAAGATGGAATCCCCCAGTGTCCACCTTCACCATCCCCAAGGCAAATGGGTGAGGCTGTTCCCCTCCTGCCCTTCCCGTGCTCTCTCCTCAGGCTACAAAAGGCCTTTTGGTTTTATCTGTTCTCTGCCTTTGGTTTTCCTGATTTTGTTCCAACAGGCACTTTTTTGGGGGGAGTATTATACTTTTGATCAAAAGCTTGGTGCTGAATTTCTCTTTTCTCCAGAGAGATTCAGTCTCACCCTGCTTTCGAACACATGGCGTTTGTGTAGAGGGGAGGACCCAAGGAATATGCGTGGTTTGGAAGCAGTGTTCTGTTCTTCTTGTAGGAAGGGTTACATTTAAGATCTTACTTGGGGACAGAGACATGAGGGATATGGAAGGGCTTTGAGACCAGTACCAATGTATACAAAAATGACTGAAGGGCCCAGAGAAGGCAGTACTAAGTGTCCTAAGGGTTTTTAAAACTACAGTTTCTTTCGGAGAGTGAAGACTTGGGTTAACTCATCCCAGAGCCCTGAGCAAAGGTGATGAAGTTCCATGGAAACTGACCACTAGAATAGAAGGAACCCTTCTAAGACCCACAGACTTTAGTGTCCAAGGTCCAAATAAGCACCATATACCATCTTGAAGGGACTCATGCCTCCCTATTGATGAACTCTGCTTCCAAAGTGTGATCCAACCTGAAGAAAGACTGTCAGGCAGCCAAGCCAAGGACAGATTAAAGATCTAGGGTTTCCATCCATGACTTATCATAGCCCCAGAGGCCAATAGTGATCAATCAATCCATGACGCTTCATCTTATCATGCCCTACTTCCCTCCCAGAAAAGGCAGTGGGGGAAAGGGGGTGGGAACTAAGTCACCGAGCTGAAATGATCCATACTTCCCAGAGCCAGAAAACACTCTCGCGTCCTTGAGGCTTCTCTTGGCTTTCCTGAGCCCCTGGTCTCAATATACCATCCTAGGCTGGGTGTGGTGGCTCCCACCTGTAACCCCAGCACTTTGGGAGGCCAAAGCACTTGAAGTCAAGAGTTTGAGGCTGGGCGCAGTGGCTCATGCCCATAATCTCAGCACTTTGGGAGGCCGAGGGGGATGAATCACGAGGTCAGGAGTTCAAGGCCGGCCTGGCCAACATGGTGAAACCCTGTCTCTACTAAAAATGCAAATGGTGCCGGGCGCCTATAATCCCAGCTACTCAGGAGGCTAAGGCAGAGAATTGCTTGAATCCGGGAGGTGGAGGCTGTAGTGAGCCGAGATTGCGCCACTGCACCCCAGCCTGGGTGACAAAGCGAGACTCCATCTCAAAAAAAAAAAAAAAAAAAAAAAAAAAGAGTTTGAGACCAGCCTGGCCAACATGGTGAAATCCCATCTCTACTAAAAATACAGCCTGTAATCCCAGCTACTCAGGAGGCTGAGGTGGGAGAATTGCTTGAACCTGGGAGGCGGAGGTTGCAGTAAGTCGAGACTGCACCACTGCACTCCAGCCTGGGCAACAGAGTGAGACTCCATCTCAAAAAAATAATAATACTCATAATAATATCCTAGAATTTTTTTCCACAAAAGCCCATATGCCTGATGTCACCAGATGGTAAAGCTCCCCTTCTTCTGCCAGAAGAGGGACTGGCACAACACATTGCCCAGCACAGAGGAAGTGCTGAATGAATGAATAAATAAATGATCAAATTAATGAGTAAACATAGAGATGAAAAAATTACTAAAGAGAGAAGTTGAAAGAGATGGAAGCCCTCCCCCATTGTAAGGTCGCTCAAAAGAGGAAACCAGGATTTAAAAAGCAGATATCCAGGTGGTAATTCCTTGGCTAATTTTTTAAAAAATGGTTTTCAAAGGGAATTATAACACATGAAGTAGTGACTCAAAGGGAATCGTAATGCATAAAGAGCGCCCTTAGTGGCCTGCAGTGTTGGTTAAGAAGTCACTGGACTTGGACCTATGCAAGCCCCAAAGGTGCTCCTAGCAAGGTGGCTGGGCAGAAGACCTTTGGGTCGTACCTCCATCAGTTGCTTGAGGGTGTCATTACAGGCACCCAGCTTGGTCATAGCAAAAGCCGTGGAGACACTCAGGGGTGACAGGAAAATGTTATCCTTGTCGTTCTTGGAATCTGCCAGGTGCTGATAGAAAGTGGTAGCAAAGCGGGAATTGGCCTTGGACAGTTCCCAGACGCGCCGGTTGGTGGCCTCGGGGATCTTCTGTTCTGAGCCCTCATCCTCAGTTGCCTTCTTCTCCGGGGAGCGGTAAATGCACATGGGATTCATGGGAATGTCCCGCGGCTTGGCTGTGCAGATGTCCACAGGGCTCCCGTGACAGGTCATACAGTCCCAGAGGCCAATGAGCAGCAAGGACAGAAGATAAACCTTCCTGCAAGGGGGCAAAATGCCGAGTTAAGCTAGGCTGCAACCCCTAGCCCCACTGCCCACCACAGGGTTGCCTCAGTAAAGCAGAGGATTCCAGCCCACCTGGTGTGGCCAAGAGAAGGGCTAAAGTCTTTGAACCAAGTACAAGGGCCCAGACTGAACCTAGAACAGGTTCAGTCCTAGACTTCTTGCCAGGGGATAGTTCAGTTGCCTGGACATGGTCATGTTGGAATTAGAATCAACTGACAGTTATTTGAAGTATTATTATGTGCTCAATTTCCCCATGCTGGGAGAAAAAGAATGCGAAGCTTCCTGTTTGTGACATGGAACACACGTGCCTAAAAAATTGGCTGGGAACTTTAGTGCCCAGTGAAGAGTCAGGGTGGTAGGGGGTGCCACCTACAGAAACTGTTTGGGGAAGGGCTCTGATAGATGCAACAGAGAGATTTCAGCAACACAAGAGAGGAAAGAAGAAACGGATGGAGCAAAGGCAATATCTGGCCAGGCACGGTGGCTCACGCCTGTAATCCCAGCACTTTGGGAGGCTGAGGCAGGCAGATCACTTGAGGTTAGGTGTTCAAGATCAGCCTGAACAACATGGTGAAACCCCATCTCTACTAAAAATACAAAACTTAGCTGGGTGTGGTGGTGCACACCTGTAGTCCCAAGCTACTGGGGAGACTGAGGCAGGAGAATTGCTTGAACCCAGGAGGTGAAGGTTGCAGTGAGCTGAGATTGCACCACTGCACTCCAACCTGGTGGGCAAAGTGAGACTCTGTCTCAAAACAACAACAGCAGCAACAACAAAACAATGGCAACATCTGTGTGCTGAAGATTCCCACATATCTAGCTCCAGCCCTAACCCTTCCACTGAGCTCCAGACTGACTATTTGCTGGACAATTCCACCAGAAACTCCTACAAGTTCTTTAGGGAAACAGGGACAAAGTGACCTGGTAATTAATTCTCCCCGAGGTGCCTGCTCCTCGTGTCCTCCAGCTCAGTGAATGGGCTCAGTGAATTCAGTACAGAAAGCCGAGAATCACCCTGGATTCCTCTCTCTCTCCTCCTCATTTAGTCAAACCCCAAAGTCAATCAGTTCTGTTTTTTCACTCTTTCACCAGTTACTGCCACTGCTTTAGTTCAGGCTCTCATCCTTTTTTATTGCCTGGAAGTTTTAATAGTCTCCAACATGGATTCAATGAAGGTAAACTAAGTTAATTTCACATTTTTAAAAAATGAGGTAGTTGGGACACTGGATGAAGCAAATCAAGAGATAAAGTCTCTTGTCATATTTTTTGTAGATAAGACAAGGGTGGGCTGCCTCCAACTGGTTTAGGGTCCCTGGGTGTACAGAAGGGAGTCCGTCTGTGGGTACTGGATCTTCCCATCTTCTCCTGGGAGAGAAAGAGAGGCGCCCAGTGCAGATTCACAGATGTGGTCTGCTGGGCAAGCGTGGGACTGGCTGGAAGCTGGGGCAGCTGAGGGGTACTTGCCTTCTTACGTGGTCTCAGTCCAGTTCTGCAGCCCTTTCAAGAACAGAGGTGCAAAGCGGGAAAGAAGCAGAGGCACCAAGGGAGATGTGGAAGGCAGGCTGAAGTAGCAGAGAGAGAGAGAGAGGAGAGGACCCTGCCATTCATCTTCCCATCTCCACTGCCTTCGGTTGCCCACTCTGTCCTTCAGCGACATTTGGAAATGCAATTCGAGGCTGAGCGGACCCTGGGAGGGCTATGAAGCACAAATTAAAACCAAGACAGTTGTGCCACCACCCCATTTCTAGCCTCCTGTGACAACTCAGATGAAGAAGGGAGTGTGTGTGGCATTGAGGGAGGGACAGCTCTCACTGTGAGAAAAGGAAGCAGTTTCGGCCCTTTAGTCAAAGGTCACTGGGATCTTGGGTGGGGGCAGAGTGGAGTGGATCTGAGTGGAAGAAGGAGCAAAAAGGGAGTGAGGAGGTCCTCGTGGGTAACATTTGCTCTCTTCCCAGATTTGCTCTCTTACGGCAGGCCCTGGGGATTCCCCTTGGAGCATTCCCTGGATTCTGTGAGTGCTGGCGTTCTGCACAGCATCTTTACACCAGGGATGACATCCCCCTTGTTTCTTAGGCTAGGGACCCAAGGTGTGGCTTAGGAAAGGCCTTACCCCAAGAGGGGGGTGGGAGGGAGGGCGCTTGAAATGACGTCTTCCAAACAGGTCTTTGACTGTAACTACCAGGGAGAGGGCCTGGTCTTCTCAAAGGTGTTAGAGGTCATTCCTGTGAGTCCTTTGGAGGTCGGAAAACCCAGTGAGGGCAGCCAAGGGGAAAGCTCACCCCTCTTACCTTTTTCCAGAGGCTACGGTTCCTATCACATTGGAATACATGGTCGCTAATCTTCCACAGGGCTGGGCAAGTGGAGATTGTTGGTCTGAGGCAATCTGCCTGAAAACTGGTTCTTTCCTCTAAATCTCACAGAGGTTCCAGAGGTCAGGGTGCATCAGGGAGCTGGTCAGGAGGGGGAACTGAGGTCAAAGGCTGATGACCAGTTCCCAGGGTTAAGCAAAGTGTAGAGCCCAGTGTTGTTTAATTAGTAGAGAAGTTTCAAAGTTCAGTCAGGCCCAGGGAAAGCCTGAGCCACCTCTCTTGCCCACACTCCCTCACTCTCCTCCTCAGCTTTATGGAAAAGGAAAAGGAGAGCATGTTCATGCCCTCAAATTTGGTTAGGAAATACCTGACTGAGGAGAAATTTGTCTGCAGGATTTTTTCTTTCTGGTTAACCATATCAGAAGATAGAAATAGCTAATGTCCAAAAACTTCTAGCCCTCTACCTGTAATTCCCTCTCTCATAGTTTTCTTTATGGACAGAGAAAGAGAGAGAGAGAGAGAAAGAAATATCTAATTAGAGGAGGCGAAGAGGGACAAGCTGCTACCTTCAGGCATCTGAGCACCAAGGTGTCCCTGGTGCAGACAAGGAAAATACAGTGGTTATACCTGTGGCCCACAGAGAGACCCATTCCCCAGCAGCCCTGAAGTGGTGGGACAGGGACAGAAGAGTAGGGCCTCGGGGTGCATGCCAAGTGTGTTTCTAAGGGGTGTGAGCAGCTGAGAAATACTTAGCAAAACTCTATTGGGGGATCAGGAAACAGAATGTGGGGCAGGTAAAAAACCCACGTACAACTGCTGAAATAAAAACAAACTAAATTATATTTATGTGTATTGTTATGAGGGAGATTGGGTAAATTCAAACTAACGGAGATAAAGGGCAGGTTTGTTTACATTTCCCTCTTCTGAAATAGCCAAAAGCACCATCACAAGGATTGCAGCCACCGAGTTCACAGGGCGCGTATGCCTCCTGCTGTGTGATCAAGGACTCCTTGTTATTGTTGTTGCAGTCATAGGCATTTTAGAGAGCTCTTCGTTCATGAGAGAGGACATCTCTCCTGGGCTGAAGCTGTGTCTAAGTTCTTGGCTGATTCAGACCCTGGATCGGTTGAAGCCCTCCATGTGCTGTGTGAACAGTTGCCGAGAACTGTCCCAAAGGGCCCCAGAATGCCCAGAGGCTCATCTGTCACCCTAGATTAAAGACTATTGAAAAGGCTCCTGGTCAACCACTGGAGTTCAACAAACACATAAGTGCTACCTGTGCCAGCAGACACTGTTCTTGGAGTTGGGATTCCATTCAGGGGAGACATGCAGCAATCACATAAAGAATCAGTATTTTGGGCTGAGCGTGGTGGCTCACACATGTAATCCCAGCACTCTGGGAGGCTGAGGTAGGCAGATCACCTGAGGTCAGGAGTTCGAGACCAGCCTGGCCAACCTGGTGAAACCCTGTCTCTACTAAAAATACAAAAATTAGCTGGGCATGGTGGCGGGCATCTGTTATTCAGTCTCAGGGTGGGCAGGCGAGAATCACTTGACCCTGGGATGACAGAGTTGCAGTGCAGCGAGTCGACACCATTGCACTCCCCTGGGGTGACAGAACAAGTCTCCAAAAAAAAAAAAAAAAAAAATCGGTATTTACAAATAAACTATGTCAACGTGCCAGTCATGATGTATATAAGGTCATTGAGATAACTATAGCGGCAAAGTGTATATAGGGAAGCAGTGGGAGGAAATGGTTGGTGGACCATGTCTGAGAACATGTGGTAGGAAGGTCCTCTTTAGGAATCGTTTGTTAGAACCGATATGTATGATGTCGAGGGGGCCAGTTATGAATTATCCTTGATGGAGAGTCATCATAGAATGAATCAGAATATCAGAGTCTTGGGTTTCTAGGGCTTTGTGCTTTGAGCTTACGTTCCAGTTTTTATAGGTTTGGTGAGGTTTGTGTTCTGCCAAGAGGTTCCTTGGAGGAGGGCAGATGAGTGGGCCCGCGAAATATAGTTGATTTGGTGAAAGTCTGGCTGAAAGGATTAGGTATGAGAATACAGGGTCAGGAGTTAAGGAACTATAATCAGGGTTTGGGGTTTTAATTTGTTCATCTTAGGCTGGATGCGTGGCTAATTCTGTAATCCGCTTTGGTGAGGTCGACGGCTGAGGCCAGGAGTTTCCTATAATCACTGTGGATCCCCACAGTTGAGACCCATCTCATGAATAATATTAGCTGTGGCTGTGGCCTGTTCTGGTAGTCCAGTACTCGGAGGCTGGAGGTTGAGAGATTGTTTGGTTTCAGGAGTTAGGCTGCAGTGAGGGCTGTGATCCGACTGCTCTCCAGCTGGTGACAGGAGTGAGACCCTGTCTCAAATGTTAAAATTAATGCATGTAGTTTTTAAGTGTTTGCAGGTTATGGCGGTCACACTGTATAATCCAGCAGTTTGGGAGGCTTGATGGGTGGCCAGTCACTTGAGGCAGGGTTTGGGACCAGCCTGCGCCAACCGGTTGGAACCTGTCTTACTAAAAAATAGCAAAAAAAAATTACTGTGGACATGGTGGCGTGCGCCTTGTAATCTCTAGACTTGGGAGGCTGGGCAAGGGAGATACACTTGAACATGTGGAGGTGGAGGTTTCGTGAGCGAGATCCACACCACTGCACTCCAGCCTGGATGACGCGTGAAACTCCTACAGGTGTAAGCATGTGCCTTGGCCATATTTTTTTTTCTCTTCTTTTCTTTTTTTTTTTTTTTTGGATGGAGTTCCTATGTGCCCAGGCTGGAGTACAGTGACCTGATCTCAGCCCACTCCAACCTCTGCCTCCCAGGTTCTAGCGATTCTCATGACTCAACCTCCTGAGTAGCTGGGATTACTGGCCCCCGCCACCATGCCTTGCAAATTTTTTGGTATTTTTAGTAGAGATGGGGTTTCACCATGTTGGCCAGGCTGGTCTCAAGCTCCTGACCTCAAGTGATCCATAAGTCTTGGCCTTCCAAAGTGCTGGGATTACAGGCGTGAGCCACTGCGCCCAGCATTATTTTCAAATATAGTACTATTTTAAAATCTCTAAACTTTATTCTAATTTTGCCAATCATCCAATTAATGTTTTTAGAGACAGGTTGTCACTCTGTTGCCATTAGAGACGGGGGTCTTGCTCTGCTGCCCACGCTGGTCTCAAACTCCTGGCCTCAAGCAATCCTCCCGCCTCAGCCTCTCCACTAGCTGGAATTACAGGCAGGAGCCACCACACCTGGTTATCAAAGCAGTGGTTTTCACCTTCTTTGTTTCAGAATCCTTTTATAGTCTTGCCAAAGAACATCTAAATATTATTATTAAAATAGTTATGTACTAAAATAGTTTTGGCCAGCCTCAGTGGCTCACACTAGTAATCCTAGCATTTTGGGAGGCTGAGGCAAGAGGATTGCTTGAGCCCAGGAGTTCAAGACCAGCCTGGGCAACATGGCTAAACTCCATCTCTATAAAAAAAATATAAAAACTTAGCTGGGCATGGAGGTATGTGCCGGTAATCTCAGCTACCCAGGAGGCTGAGGTGGGAGAATCACTTGAGCCTGGAAGGTTGAGGCTGCAGTGAGCCGTGATGGCACCACCACACTCCAGCCTGGGTGATGGAGTAAGATCCTGTCTCAAAACATAAATAAATAAAATGAAATCCTTTTGACTTCATATACCTACTGACAGGTTTTCTGAATCTCCTAGGGTCCCTGGACCACGCTTTGGGAAGCACTGATTTATAACCAAAAAAAAAAAAAGAAAGAAAAGTATTTTTTTTCTCCTTTCTCTGTGGCAGGAGCACACATTGCATTTAGTTGTCATGTCTCTGTCGTCTTCTGAGGCGTGGAACAGTTCCACTCATCTACAGCCACACCGCCCTGAATGTGCCTGATCTCGTCCCATCTTGGAAGCTAAGCAGGGTCGGGCCTGGTTAGTACTTGGATGGGAAGAGTTTCTCTCTTTTTCTTTCATGATTTTGGCTTGTTTGGCTTGTTTGATTTAGGCCAGTTAATTTTGAAGAATGTCTCTCAACTTGGTATGTCTAAAATGTCTTCAGGATTAGATTCAAGTTATCCTTTTGGGGGCGGGAATACAACAGAGGTAATACTGTGTCCTTCTCAGTGTATTGCATCAGGAGGTACAGTAATTTGTCCTATCACTGGTATTAACTTGGATTACAGGATTGTGTCTGCCAAGTTTCTCTGCTGTAAAACTACAATATTCCCCCTTTTGTTCAATGTCTTGTGGGAATACTTCACATACTTGAGACTATGCAAATACATTGTTTTCCATCAAATTTTCACCTGCTAATTTAAGCATGCCTCAATGATCCCTTTGCAAGACTTAAACATTTGTTTTAAATTCATCTTTTTTTTTGAGACAGGGTCTCGCTGTTGCCCAGTCTGGAGTACAGTGGCACCATCACATCTCACTGACGTCCTGAACAACCTGGGCTCAAACAATCCTCCCACCTTAGTCTCCCGAGTAGCTGGGACTACAGGTGTGTGCTACTGTGTCTGGCTATTTATTTATTTATTTATTTATTCTGAGAGGCATTTTCACTCTTGTTACCCAGGCTAGAGTACAGTGATGTAGTCTCGGCTCACAGCAACCTCCACCTCCTAGGTTTAAGCGATTCTTCTGCCTCAGGCTCCCAAGTAGCTGGGATTACAGGCATGCGCCACCATGCCCAGCTAATTTTTGTATTTTTAGTAGAGACGAGATTTCATCATGTTGGCCAGGCTGGTTTTGAACTCCTGGCCTCAGATGATCTGCCTGCCTCGGCCTCCCAAAGTGCTGGGATTATAGGCATGAGCCACCGCGCCCGGCCTTATTTATTTATTTTTAAAAACTTTTTGTACAGATGGGTTTTCGCCATGTTGCCCAGGCTGGTCTCTAACTCCTGAGCTCAAGTGATCTGCCTGCCTTGGCCTCCCAAACTGTTAGGATTACAGGTGTGAGCCACCACATCCAGACCCTGCAAGACTTTCAAAGCACTCCTCCCTCCCTGTTATTTCCGTGTTTCTCTAAAAAGGATTATCACAAAAACCATTAGAATTAAAAGAGATTAAGTTAGACAATACACTAGGCTGCGAGGAAACAAGCTGTTTCATCCATTGCTCTTCG